CAGTGATGAAATGTTTCATTTCTATCACAGTTTCATCATATCTCTTATCTATATATGTATAGTCCCACTCTCCATAGTATCACTACAACTATATCTACAAGAGAAGCAACAATTATAGATTCGGGGTATATGTAATTTCAATTCTAAAGGAAACCAACCCTGATTGTCCTTTGAAAGGACAGATACCAAAGCTGAAGCTCAAATATTTTGGCCACCAAATGAGAAGAGAGGACTCATTGGAAAAGATCTTGATGTTGGGCAAGATTGAAGGAAAGAGGAAAAGAGGACAGCAGAGGATGAGATGGCTAGATGGTATCATCAATGCAGTAGGCATGGGTTTGGGCAGATTGAGGGAGACAGTGAGTGCTGGGATTCACCTGGTTCGCATCAGTTCAGGTGAGCCAACTGTAAAATTACCCACCCCCCACTATCAAAGTGGATCCTGGGCGCTGCACTGCAGTGCAATGGAGAAACAGACCACGGAGCGGTTGATGCAAGGGAAGGAGGAGGACACTTTCCCATTTTCTTCTCCCTGCTCCTCCTTCCCTTGTGCCGGCTGCTCCATTGCCCATTTCTCCATTGCAGCGCTGCATTCAGGATCCACTTTGATAGCTGGATGGTGGTGGTAATTTAACGACCGGTTCGCTCAAGATTGGCTATTGCGGGAGGCTCGTCCTGCATGTGCAGCACAGCTGGAGGATGGGGATGGACCACACCTCCCACGACAGCCAACCTGACACTGGGCGGAGGGGTTGTTAAATTATTTCAATCCCACCACTGGAGACAGTGGAGGATACAGGATCTGGCAGACACAAATTAGCAACTGAATAACAACAAAAATGTGTAAGTTGGAAGAAAGACAATATTTAATCCTTCTTCTTTTCTAGAAGGGGTGGGGATCCTTTTTATTTTAGAAGACCATTTTTATGTGAGTGATTAATGGTGATAAGAACTGCTGAGTGAAATTTTAGCCTCTGAGGGAGTTGTTGCTTAATGAAGCTGACAGAAGCAGCAATTTATAGATACTGTGTTGTAAGAGCTAAGTATTGGTCCATGGAGCTCAGTATAATATTGTCTAATCCAATGTTTTTCAATCTCAACAAGTTTAAGATACATGGACTTCAAGTCCCAGAATTCTCCAACCAGCCATAGCTAGGGAATTCTGGGAGTTGAAATCCACACATCTAAAGTTACCAAGGCTGAGAAACATTGCCTGGTATCATGGACAGTTGCTCACCTAGATCTCATCCAGAAGTTGTACTTAAATCAGCAATACTGAAATTTAAAAATGGAAATGTATATTGCTTTAAGCAATTGTGTTAGCAACTACACTTTCTTTGTGTAATGTCACCAGAAAACTTTGATATGTCTACCTACTCAACAGGCAGTAATACACATCACACGCATCAAAAAGGATTAGCATTAATAATCTGTATGTGGCACCATTCAAGTAATTGCAAAGGAGAGAAACTAAATTGCACGAGAGGTTCAGGTTTCATCCATTAGTGGCACTATTATCAATTCAGGCATAGATGTGACAGAAGTCAGAGCTAAAATTAGCGCAGTGTCTCACTAGCTGCCCTCATCGGTACCATGCCAAAGAAGAATACTGCTCTTTGTTCTTTTGCAACAAGTTGTATCTGACAACAAGGGGTCTCTTGTCATCCATTGTTCCCGCAATGAAACCTGCGTGCTACTAAACCAAAACAAACCAGCTTCGTGGAGAGATCTACCCTCCCATAGCCTTTCCATTAGATAATCATTTCTGTTTTAAAATCAACACGTAATTTCTCTGCATCATCTTCACCATCTACAGATCTCAAACATATCCATCTTTTGTTTAGGATCTTTATGAATCTGAAGTTTTGTAAAAAGCATCTTTCAATACCCCTTGAAAATCTATGCAAACCAATAAGCTGAGCATGGAGAATTCCAGGCCAATCTATGTTCTCTGTTTATTTACAATTTGTTAGTCCCTGAGTCATTGTCCCCACAGCTTCAAATGCTTTGTGAATTATCAGTAGGCCTTTTCCCATTTCCAAAGATACAAAGAACATTTTAGCATTTGCATACATAGGTATACATAGCCCATCCATTTTCCCACATGTATTTATATACATGTGTCCAATGGTTTGCAAAATATTCCCCCTGATAGAGGTAAAGCAGAGGAAGATTGACTTTTAAAATTATTAAAAGGTATACTGAGCAGTCTAAAAAAAAACCCTCTGCCCTTGTGCCAGATCAGTATAGCAGAGCAAACCTAGAAATAGCATGCCAGCAAAATTGCATTTGAGGTCTGCTTAGATTAGGCAGAATGAAATGCTAGTGAGGAGTGAAAAATAAAAAGCAGCTGCTCTAATGGAGGATCAAATAGACCTAGAAATAGGATGAATTGGAAACAGGAGTTTCTTCTTTTGGGAGGTGGGGTAGCAAGGGAAAGAAAACGTAAAGATGTTTTCTGAAGGTTGGAAGGAATCAAGTATCTTGGAAATGCATGCAACATCATTTGCTTGTGAATATTCTATGGCAGACGACATAGTTCATGTATCTCAAGAAATAGGGAAAAAATTTGTATCTGAAAATGCTCATCACAATCTGAGATTGCCATGTGCCATCTACTAGTCAATAAATCTC